CAGAACAATGCTCCCACCTGTGTCCACATCACTGTTGACATTCTGAGTGGGGAATGAAGTCCAACCCTTGCCCACTTCACAACCAGGAGCTGGTTGCTGTGTGAAGCTTCCAGCAGGGACCTTCTTAAAACCAAACACATTCACAGGCTTGTTGTCAACCTCCTGGTGGTTAGGTCCTGCTCTCCCATCCTGCTCCACTGTGAAGGCTGCTGCAGGTGTTTGCAGCTGTGTCTGACCATCTTTTCCCGGTTGAAGCTTCAGTCTCTGCAGCATAGACTGCAACAAGGCCTGCGAGTCCGTCGGATGATGTGACTGAGACATCTAGAAACAAAACTTCCCCGTGTTAAGTCCTTTGTGTCACAAAAAAACACATGTAAACAATGCAGCGTATCCAGCTAAGCAGGGGTGGGTTCCTCACAGCGTGAAAGGCAGACGATCATGATAAAAAAGTTATCTGAGTGGAAATCCTGTCCAGGTTTGTTGTTAGAAAGACTCCAGCTGCTTTGCTTATCTTTGGAGATTCCGATCCGTCTCCTTCATGTTAACAGTTCCTCGTTGCAGAAATCAACCCACATTTTGCTGGTTTATCTTCCTCCTGCCTCCTTCTTGCTCAGATTTGACCCATTTAATGATTTCCAAACTCAAAAGAACGCTTTCTCTTTTTGACGTTTTGGCACAAATCCCTCATGTCCTTGTGTCCTTTAAAAGTCCCTCCCTTCTCTTGAATGTCCAAGGTTTGAAGGCACAAACTTGTTTTGGTCACACTTCTCCTCCAGCTGTCACTTGTGTCCCTGGCGGTAGGAGGAGAGGCAGTTCACGTTCCTCTGATCTTACGCACTGAAGAAGACAAACAAGAAAAACCAGAGAGGTAAGATCATTTTGTTTTGACAGTGACTCTCCCTCAGACCTTCCTTCCTATTTCTCACATGTGCACACACCCTTCTTCTTACCACTGCGTCCCTTAACTAGTCTTCAAAATGAAATACATTAGAAACCAACCTTTAAACTAACCAATTTACAATTTACCTGCATTCTTCTACTTTTGTTGAAACGTCTGCGCAAACGTGGCTAATCTTGATTAGCTGTCGTAGTTAATCAGTTGTAGATGGATGCAAGCGCACAGACAGGAGCAAAATCATTTATTATAAATAAGAATATTTTAGTACAAAATGAGCCGTTGAAATGAAACTTAGTTTAAAGCATCTTTTGATTCAATTCCAGATCGGTTCTTCTTATAGGAACACAGCTGCCTTCGGGTTAAATGTCTCTGAGCAAAGTGAAATAAAGTTCAGCTGTATTTTCAAAGTTCAGAGCTCACAAAAGATCTCACTGTTGAAAGGGAAGACAGTCATGAAGTGGAGAGCAAATGGGAGAATGATCTTGTTATTGAGGTTATTGAGAACTGGACGTCCATCCAAAATGGATGAAAATTCAGGATGGACGATGGTCAGGGAGGTCGACAGCAACACTGAAGGAGCTGCAGGAGTATGATGAGCACCAAGTGTGCCCCATCATGTGACAACAATTTCCTGTGTTCAGTAATGGTCAATCAGGTCATCTGGGCAGTTTCTTTTTTGTGGAAAGACATTTCGCTTCATCAGTCTGAGGAGTCCCAAGTAAACAGTTTTCCCCACTAAGCAGTGCACTCCTTTAGTGGACCAACCAGTTTACTGCTGTCCAGATGACCTGATTGACCCATTATTGGATTTTGTACCTGGATGATTGAGCATGAACTTTGAAATCTCCTGTGTTATTAATATGTCTGAACTGAGGTGGAGACTTTTTTTTTTTTTTTTTACAAAGAAAAACATCCAAATTTGGATAAACATTACAAGATGGAGTTAAAAAATATATGAATAAATATGTGTTCTGGACTGATGAACCTAAAGCTGGTCTTTTTGGTGCAGGACAAAGACTGTGGATCACCAGAAGGACATTAGAACCACAGTGAAACATGGTGGTGGCAGTGTCATGATGTGGGGTGGCTTTTCTTCACCTGGAACAGGGTTTTAGTCAAGGTGGATGGAATGATGAACAGTTCATGTTTGTTTCAGGCTTAATAAAACCTTCAGGTGTCTGATAAAAAACAAACAAACTGAGGACAAAGAGGTATTTCCTTTCTTAATGGCAGTGACCTCAAGAAGACATCCAAATCAACAAAGAATAGCTTAACCAGAAAAAAATAAAATTCAAGGTGAGTGCTGAATGACTGTTGAAATTTGCTGAAGAAACTAAAACTGAGATGGTGAAGCTAAAAGAAGTTAAAAAAAACCTAGCTGAAAGCTAAAGCAACAAAAGACTGGCCAAAAGTTAAAACATAATAAAGGTTAGCAATAAGCTAAAAGTATCCTCAAGGAAGACAAAAACTGAGGCAGTCTGCAGAAGAAGACTTCAAACAGGAAATAATTTTAAACGAATAAAAAATAATTCTATGCATTTTTATGGAGAGAAGATTTGTAAACACAGCTAAACATTTAAAAAAGTTGTACTGAATGCAACAAAAACCAAAAGTTGCGACACCCATCTCCTGTTTGAGCTGAATGTTTTGATATGACTAAAATAGCACAAAGTATGCAGAAGTAGTAAGTGTGTAAAAGAATAAAGTACAGTAAAAACAAAGGTGTGAATCACACAGTTAGAGGTTTTGGATTGGGCGAGCCAAAGTCTAGATTTAAATGAAATTACGCAGGGGGCCACAGTTACTGGAAGCCAAGAGCTCAGGGTGCAGACATCCAGCAGTTATTCTCATTAAGTAAATTTGTTTTACAGTTTAAAATCTAGTTTTATTTAAACTTGAATCCATTGGTGGGCCGAACTGAGTTCACCAGTGGGCCTGATTTGGCCCCCGGGCCACCAGTTGAATAGCCCTTGTCTAGATTAAATCTGATTAAAAAAAATGTGTGTGGAGGCCTGAAGAGAGAAGAGACGTCCACAGTCTGACACATTTGAGACACTTTAGTTTTAAAGAGTCGGAGAATATGAGCGGTTCAAGGTGTGGCGTGCTGATGGACTCATTCCTAAACTTACAGACAGCTGTAATTAAATCAGAAGGTGATTCTGGAAACCATCAGTTTCAGGGTGTGCACACTTATGCAGCCATCTTTTAAATTATTTACAATATTTTCCTATGACAGTTTGTCTTTCGAGTTGAATTCTGCAAGATACATGTCACAGTAAATGTGATTTGGTTTTTTTAACATCACAGAAACCTGGCACTTTAACAGAGGCGTGCGGACTTTTACATCCACTGTTCCGTATGGAGCACAAATCCAAGTTTGTTGTTAACAAAATAAAAGTGAAACAAGTCTCTTATGTTTTTTCAAGGTGCTCAAAGCTGCTAGTGTGCAGAGTCAAAGGGTGAGAGCAGCACGTTGCTGGACGAAAGGCTGCCGTTGAGTGTGAGAAAATATATTAACACAGAAAGTACAAAGCGTGACACCTCAAGGACGATGCTACAATGTGCAGTTTGTTCACCATTAAAAACTTGTTCCAAATTGTTACAAACAAACAATAAAGAAGCATGCTCATCGGCACAAGTTTCACCATTGATTGCACTTTCTGTGAAGTTTCAGACTCTACAATGTGAGTAACAAAGAATTTTGGAGAAATTCTGCATTTTTTACTTTGTGCTTGTGTATGATGATGTCATAAGAGCCTGCAGGTTCATACAAATTTCCATAAGGGACAATAAAGTCTACATTTTTATATATTATCTGTTTCGTACACTTCCAGATTAAACTTTTGTTTTTTTCATTCAAGCTTTATTTATGCAGGTTAGTCTTGTTGAGTCACGAGAACTCATTTTCAAGAGAGACCTGTTTTAAACAGACAACATATAAAGTACAGGCAACAATATACAACAATAAAGTGTTATAATAAAAATCAGATCAAGGCGCCATATAAAGCAAGGTAAAATACTAAAAACAACAACCAGCTGATCAGCTATTGACCTTTTCAATTGTTTAAAATCCCTTAAATAAATGAAACTGGACAGCTTCAGATCTTTTTGTAAGGTGTTCCAGGTTACAGGAGCACAGTAAGAAAAGGCCTTTTTGCTGAGTTCAATCCACACTAAGGGGACACTGCAGGTAATGAAGGCCTGAGAGCGCATGTAGTAACTGCACTGGTGGTGTGACATGTGGGAGGAGATATAAGAAGGTAGCAGACCAAGGAGTGATTTATAGATGAAGATGAACCAGTGTGAGAGCATGCGTTTAGATAATGATGACCAACTGACCAAGGAGTACAGAGTGCAGTAATAAGAACTGTAGTTACAACCAGTTATGAATGTTAGCACACCATTCAATTCAATCTTTATTTATACAAGTTAGTCTCATTGAGACTTGAGGACTCATTTACAACAGAGACATGTTTTTAACAAAACATTCTTAAAATAAGGCATACAAATTGAAAAAAACAAAAAATGGAAGAAAATAATGTACAAAAAAAACCATGGTAGACAGCAGCCAACATCTAACAGGAGATGGCCGGGGCATTCATGTAAATGTCACCATAATCAGTAGATGGTAGGAAAGTTGCAGCTACAAGGTGTTTCCTGGCATTCAAAGTTAAGCAAGATCTATTTCTGAAAAAGAAATCCAGCTTTAATTTCAGTTTTTTTTTTTTTTTTCACCCAAATATTATTAGGTGTTATTATAGTTACCTTTTCATTTGATTGATCTAAATTTACTGCTGTTTAATAAAGTCTGAAAATGTATACAATTAAGAAGTTCCACATAACAGATTTGATCAAATGGTGCTCCATTGTAGTTCAATATTAGCCATTTACACATTAATAATTATATAAAAAGTATTTATGTCACCTATTAACGGTAATAGGATATTTTATGTATTTGAAACTTACTCAAATTACTAAATAACCCCACTTTATTAATTAATATGTATAAACCACTTAGATAAATCTTTAAGAAATAGTTGCGCATGCGCTGAACGAACACACGCCCTTTTCAGCGCTTGTCTCTCTCTGATTGGTCCACATTGCGGAAGTAAACAAGGCGAGGGTCGTACGAAAGCGTTGAGCGGTTGTAGCTAATAAAATATAAAACACAGCCACAAACAAAAAAAAATATGTTTTCGACAGGAGGCTTTGTGCTCTTTAAACAAACTACTAAAACTTAACTATCAAACTAAGTGGTGGCGGTCGGGTTTGGCTAATTTGCTAACTTGACGGAAAAGTTCAGAGATGCAGTGTGTGGTTACGGGAGGAAACGTGAAAGGTAATAGCACTTTCACGCTCGTTTGACACTCTTGCTCGACTTTGAGACGTGAATGGATCGTTAATAGTGACGGTGTTTTGTGTGTGTGTGTGTGTACCGTCCAGTGTTGGCCAAAGCCATCCACTCTTTGTCCAGGATCGGAGACGAGCTGTACGTGGAGCCTCAGGAAGAAGACGGGGTAAAAAGCTGCACGGATGCTGTCAGATACACCGACACTTCCTGCCGTGCATATAGTCTGTCTGCTTCCTGTTAGTTCACACTTTGCATCAATGAGCCATGCTGGTTTTGGTGTTCTCTCTCTCTCTCTCTCTCTCTCTTATAGCTAGCCCTGCGGTCTGTGAACTCTTCTCGGTCGGCATATGCTTGTTTCCTGTTCGCGCCACTCTTCTTCAGCAGGTGCAGCCTCTCTCTGTGTTGTTGGAGCGGGTCAGTGAACGTCACATTCATGAAAGAACCTAAAGGCATCTTTTCTCTGCTGTTTCACGTGCAGGTACTCCGTCCGCAGTGGGCTCAACTTCCGCTGCAGGTTGGCTATAAAGGTGTGGACAGAGGAGCCTTTTACAGTCTGAATCATTTTGTTGTTTCAGAGGATTACACAAACCTAAAGCTCAAGTCAGACTTGTTTTTTTTGTTGTTGTTTTTTTTGGTATTTTAAAGCAGAGATTCTCAACTTATGGCTGATGACACATAAATGGGTCATGGACTTTCTAGTTGCAGGCTATTTGCCTGGGAAAAAAAAAAAAGCAGAAAATCAAGGTTACCATACCATACAATTTTATTTGTAGAGCACTTAAAACAGCGACAAGGCCAACCAAAGTGTTGTACAGGCAGAACAACAGGTAACACACAAAGCAATATACAAAATGAAGTAAATCAGAATATAGCTAAACATAAAAACGATGCAGATAATGACAACTAACCAGTGTGGAGCATACAGGATCAAAACAGATCATCTGGTGTTGAATGCTACTGAATAGTAGTGGGTTTTTAAATGGGACTTGAAAACCGAGAGGGAGGGGGCCTGTCTGACAAGCAGAGGTAACTCGTTCCAAAGTCTTGGTCCTGCTACAGAGAAGGCCCTGTCACCTCTGCGCTTAAGACGAGTTCCTGGAACTGTGAGGAGCAACTGGTCCGCTGACCTCAGGTTCTGATTGGTCGGCCAACCTTCTGGTTAAAGCCATAATAGCTGTCAAAATATGTGATTTATCAATGTTTTTAATTTGTGTCTAAAACCGTTCATTCACTGGACAGAGAACGAGTTTAAAAAAAAAACAGCCAAGGTCCAAACAAAAACATTCCAAGATTTAATCAAGACAGCTGAAAAGCCTGACAATTAGAGATGAATGTGCTTTATTTACTGGGTATTTCTAAATATGTTATTTTGTCTCGTGTTTTAGAAACATTTTAACTTGGTTTAGCAAGGCCACATGTTATTTATCCTAAAGTGCAGCTACATGCTGACAGGTCATGGTGTTATAACAGTTTTAGATTGATGATTCGAGCTCAAAGTGATGTGCATTTAGACAATAGATGAAGCACCGATCAGTGTATCTGTGGTCAGTATGTTTTATTTTACTACTTTAACACGTGGACCGTAGGGTTTACCAGAGAGTTTTAAAATTAATTTACTAATTAGTTTACAATGAACTACCTCTTGGCAGAAGGACGGCTGTACTGACCTGAAATGTAAACACCGTCATCTTGATTCTCCTCCAGTTTAAAAGCTTCACGGCAGAGAGAAACAGCTGAATGACTTCATGAGTTTTTTTTAGCTGTGTTCATTTTAAACGCTATCTTCTCTGCCATGTTGCCAACCGATGATTGTGGTTATCAGTGTGATTTTTTTTTTCTCTCAAAACCTCCGAGCTTCCTCCTGTCAGTTGTAGATATGCTCATAAACAAAAACTGGCCATTTTTCACAAAATGTGCAGCTCAAAGCCCATTTTTAGCCGTTTACGCACCTCAGATGTTTTTTTATGTAATGTTGGACGTTCCACTTGGTATTAACTCAAACGAGCTGCTTTCCTCGTTATGTTTGTTTCCATACTTTGTCACAGAGCGTGCAGACGGTGTTCAGATCTGTGGCAACTTTAGAGAAAACTGTGGAAAAGTGTCACATCGAGCTGGATGAAGCAAAGGACAGTCTGACATTCACCCTGCACTGCAAACACGGTAACAGAGCCTCAGCTGTGTTGGGTTTAGACATGTTTTGCACTAACTGCAGGGCTGTGACATCGTCCCATTTTATTCTTCAGTGTGTTGTTTTGGTGTTTTCTCTGCAGGCCTCATGAAGACACACAACCTGTCGTACCAGGACAGTGAAAGCTTACAGGCCGTGTTCGATAAAGACAGCTGTGCCAACGTATTCAGAGCCCAGCCCAGGTCTGGAAACTCTTTTATTTTTATATTATTTTTCTACTCTTGACCTTTTTAAAGCCATTTTTGTTAATAAGTTACCATTTATTTTCCAAAAACACATAATCAGACACAACCAAAATGTGCAAATAAAAATAGGAATAATTCATAACTGGTTTCCACAGACTCTTGTACAGCCACAAATTTACTAATCCCAATTTTAGGCCTTTAAAGAGTTTAAACGTGACTCTGCACATCAAGTCAGGGATGAAGTCAGATTTGTTCAAACTAAACTAAGCACTTTTTTTAGATTCCTCGCTTTTTAAGCTACAATGGGATACATCAATGTTAGGTGTGTCCCAATACTAGTTTATTTGTTTTCAGGCAGAGTACATGTACTTCAGTTTGGGTATTTGCCATTACTGTGTACTGATATGGAGGAGGTAATGAGTTAGTACTTAAACCTTTGCACAGTGACTTTAGCAACACATGTCTTTTATTAAGAACACATTTATCTGCTGTCTTAAATCACCTGTTTTTATCTAAAATGATCTTCAAACTACCAACATTTCTCAGTTTTTGCCTGCAGTTATTTGCAACGGGGAAGAGGAAATGACGTCACCAGGCATAAAAGTGCTATAGGAAGTATTGGGGTGTTTTTATGAGTCCAAGTGCAAGTATTTCAGGGCCGTATATTAATACACCTATTGGTATCAGGACACCACTAACTGATGTCATGAACTGTTATGGAGTTTAAGCTTGATTTTTCACTCAAAACAGGACACTTTTTAAGAGTTTTGAAGAAACAAGTGTTGACAGAAACTTTATAAAACTTGTGATTTATGAGTTAATCGGGACAAATCAAGGACATTGCAGGAAGCGCTCATCCTATCGGGATGATCGAGGCATCAAAACGAAGCTTCAGAATCCAAGAAACCAAATTTGTGCTCAGTTCAGTTCGACTGAGTCTGACTTAATCTCTGATTTGATGTGACGGGTCACAAATATGTCATAAAGTCCTAAAATATGTTTAGTTATGTCTGAACTTTGTAAGTTTCTTCATTAGTTGCTTCTTCTATCAAATGGGTTCAGATGTTAGTACGCAGAAACAAAAATGGTAGTCCCGTCATGCAGCAGTCCTATTGGAGGGAAGTTACTGACAGATATTCAGGTTTCATAAAATAAATAATCCAGTTTTTCTTTTGTTTACTTTTGAATGATTTGAATTGAATTTGAATGAAAGGCGGGACAATTTAAATGTCATTTTACATTGTCTTGTTATATTTCTGTAACTCGTGTAGGTCTTAATCCTGGTGGTCCAAAAAAAGTCTTAACTTTAACCACAAACCCTACTTAAAGATTAGACAGAGCGCAAGTTGAAATGGATGCAGCAAAACTATTATTACTGTTTGTCCAGCCTCAGATTAGATTAATTATATGCAAGGGAAATAAATTGACTAAATATAAAAAGCTAAAGTTGAAATCATCCCAATTTAGACCGGAGCTGTTTTTATTATCCCTGCCTAAACCAACGCTTCCTAATGTTAAACAAAAAGAAATCCAAATAACAATTCATCTTCTGAAAACCTACTTTTTTTTTTGTCTCTTCCTGTGTTGATAATTTTCTCATTTAATCTGGTATAAATTACCGGTTCTTAGCATTAATTGGGATGTACCGGTAGGTTTTCTCCTCCTCCAGCAGCTGAACAAGTAGGTGAAGATCCATCCAAACTTTTTCTAATAAAACACTTCTGTCCAAAAGGTTTGACCTGTGGGATGACGTCTGAACATCTGAATAAATGTTTGTTTCCTCACATCCATGACAGCAAAAAAAAAAAACATATAAGTTCAGATCAGGATAAAATAATCAGATAATATTCTTACGTGTAAGGGAGGTCTTGTGTGATTGACGAAGACTTTTTAAGCGATCTGATTTCTGATTTAGACATTGTTCCAGGGTTTCTTTTAATTTTTGTCCTTTCTGCGTGGAGAACTGAGATTCACAGATCTTGCTCCCGTCTGGCTCTGGATTTTTGCATCGTCAGTCTCGGCGTTGTTCAGGGTTTGTCCTGTTTGTCCTTTGCTCGTAGGGTTCTAGTGGACACGGTCGTGCACTTCCCTTCGTCTGTAGAAGAAGTGACCGTGACGGCGAACAACGAACGGTTGTGGGTCAGGAACCACGTGGAGGATGAAGCAGGTGGCGAGACGTTAGATTAATAGTTTCAGATTTCAGAATATTTTCTCTTTACATGAACAGATTTTTAAGAAGCTCTTGTGTTATTAAGATTAAAAAGATGTTATCAGAAAGTGATGCGTTAAGTTTACAGCTTTGAGCGATTCCATCAGCTGAAAGTAAGTACGTAAATCGGAATCAGACGTTGATTTTGAAACTTGGTTCTTCTCTCAGAGCGGTCAAAAGCCATGCTAACGGAGCTGTGCCTGGCTTCAGACGAGTTCGACCATTTTGTTGTCAAATCGCTCAACAGCATCACTTTTTGTTTAAAGGAACTGCGGGTGAGACCAGCAGAAAGATTAGTTAATATAATAATAGATTTAATAAATTCTTGATTAGATTAACTGGTACTTCTGTTTTCAGGGTTTGTTGGTGTTTGCTGAGTCCACTGGCCTCCCTGTTTCTGTGTACTTCGACGAGCCCGGCAGGTGAGGAAGCACATTCTCGCGTCCTAGAACACGTGATCCACTTTCTGGTGCTGACGCGTGCGTTTTGTGTGTTTGTGCATCAGCCCCGTGGTGCTCTCAGTGACGGACAGCGTCCTGGAGGGGAACTTTGTGCTGGCCACGCTGTCTGATGATCACAACGTCCAGAAAAACGACGGTGGAGGGTAAATGAAACAAATGGATCAGTCAGATATTTTTAATGCATCACAACGTGCTTCATACAGGATGAAACAAGCGATTAAAAAACATGCAAGTTTGTTCAAAACGGTGGAAAGTTATAAAAGGAGGAGGATTGAAACATGAAGAAACCAAGAAAACGATTTGATTGATGAGAAAATGCTTCTAAATGATTAAATAGTGAGAAACACTTTTGACAAACTACTTTTTTTTTCTTCAAAAGTTAAACATCAGTTTAGAAAAACGTAACAGAAAAGTTGGATGAGGGGCGAAACGTTTCTTTTTAACAAAAAAAACGAAGTCCAGATGACATGATTCAACCTTTTTTGTTGTTATATACCTGGATGACTGAGAAAACAAACTTTGTGTTTTTGAAACCATTAGTGAAAAGGCCAGACTTCAGGGGTATCTGAGGCAGGCTTGAAACACAAGAGTCAGGGTGGCTTCTGGGTAATACCAGATGGCTAGGCCTCAGACTGACGAAGCCTCTTGGATGAGGGGCGAAACGTTTCTTTTTAACAAAAAAAACGAAGTCCAGATGACATGATTCAACCTTTTTTGTTGTTATATACCTGGATGACTGAGAAAACAAACTTTGTGTAACAGAAAAGTGTTTCAGCCAAAGCTGTAACTGTTTCAGTCTCAGGCAGGAAGTCCTCCGTGCTCCACCTGGTGGGTGTTATCATCAAACCTCATCATTTAATCTCATCTACTGTAGACTCTCTTTAATTGTAGGGGTTACGTTCCAGACTCCCTGCAATAAGTGAAAATCTATATATATATATATAAAGACTTTATAAACCCTTCCCACACTCTTGCCATGTTCTAAACTCTTAAACCTACGTCATTTTAACAACATTCGTACATGTAGCTACTAAATTTTACTTAACAGCTCTGCAGAACAGCAGCGGCTCGGTTCCGCTCCGACTTGGTTCTTATTTGGCGGACCTACCCTGCTGGTTCTGGTCGGCTCTTTGGCTCGGGGTAGTGGCGATGGGCACCAGAGGGAGCTCCAGACCTATGGCGGCATCACCGCTCTGAAGTCCTTGTGGGCAGGCTACCAGCTCTTAGATTCGCCGATGGGTCTGGAGGTCCAGTTCTGGTCCAGTTCCGGGTGGGTTCTGTTCGACTCTCTGTATCTGCTTGGCGCCAAAGTCACTGTAAAGGTCCTAACTTTTTCAGATCAGATCAAAACTTTCCCTCTTGTTCTGTATTTCATCAGAAGGCAACGGGGCTTCTGGGCAGGGCACTGTTGGCTTCTGGGAAATGTAGTCCTTATGAGTGGGGATACAGTGTAGACTTATTGAAAGAAAACTACAAAATGGCAGCGTCTTTGCTAAGTTTTTTTTTTGTTTGTTTACTGTACAGTATCCCGTATTGTCTCAATCACTTGAGTAATATTAAAGTTGGCAATCGTGTCGTGTACAATTTTTTTTTTCTCGTGTTCAATTGTACTTTGAGAAACCGCAAAAGTCAAACCTTAAAGTAGCAAGGGACTAATGTATTTGAGAAGGTTCCGACTGTTTTGTTTAGCTGGTTAGATTTATTAAACTAACAGACGATATAGATGCTCCAACTTTAGCATTGCTTTTTGTTGATTGAAAGATGCCTGCTGTTGGTCTTTAAGGCTTTTTGTCTTCATCTTCTTCTTTCTTTTTTGTTGTCTTCTGTGTCTTTTTCTTTGTTGTCTTCTTCCTCTTCAGGGGTCTCCACAGCGAGCCATCCATCTCTCTGTCCTTTGCATTCTCTGTGTCCCTCCTTCATCTAATAGTTGCACCGTTTTTGTTGGCACCCTGTTTGTCAGCAGCACGAGTAGCGGCCGTCATAAACTCAGGCTTCGGCCAGTCCTTTGGGGTGTCGGCGCCTCGTATTTGACCATCTGGACTTTAGCTCGTACTTTGTTGACGTTTTTATCGTCCTTTCACTGACAAAGCCAAACTTCACAGCATATTTATACTCTCTTCTTCTGCCAAGTGAACACAAACACCAAGAAAAACAACATTTCTTGAAGGAATGCATATCCCCCGCCATCTTGCGTGCAAACGTTTTAAACGAGACATCGTGATCTGTCATGTGTTTGGATGACTCTCTGCGACTACCACAGCAAACTTTAGCTCATTGTCTGTAAGATTGACTGAGTTGTAGCCTTGTTTTTGTGCGTTGGCTAAAGTGGATTAGTAGAAGCAGTTCATGAAATATTTTGCTAACAGACACAGGTACAGGCACAATTGCCCAACTTTCATGGCAATAAAAATTTGGAGGAGATGGTTTGGAATTTTTTTTTTTGCAAAAAAAGATGGTAGTAAATAAAGGTAATACAGCTAATATTGAAGTACAAGAGGCATAAAAAGACTAATCTTAAATTACACGGACTCCTGTTGTGTATTGCGTGAAACTTAGTGAGGACCGGCCATCTTTATGTTCAGGTTCATGGGTCAGCGAGAGGTAAACAGATGTTTTTATCCTTCCTCTCATCGATCTGTCTGACTCCTCAGAGCTCGTGCAGAGCCGCCGCCTCCCGACGACTTCATGAACGACGACATCGACGCCTACCTCATCGCCATGGATACCAGTGTTGTACCAGGTCCGTCAGCTGCAGACTCACCCGCTCCCTCGGTAGCTGCTTTCAGAGTGTCTCCAGCAGCTGATCACAAGACGAGAAAGCACAGTGAGGAGGAGGAGGAGGAAGAAGATCCAGACAGACCACCCAATAAAAAGGTTGATGTAGCTTTTACCAAATGAGGCGTTATGGCCTTTTTTTTATATCATTTAGGAGAAATATAGTCCAGAAATTGTAAACATTATTTAAAATGTGTAATATTAAATGTGAACGACTTAAATTAAACACTAAAATCATTAAAGTCAAAGCTAGTAGTTAAAAATACTATTTTCACTGTGCAAAGCTCAATTATTTATGCCATGAAAATGTTTAAATTAGCTGAAGCAATGTAAGATAATTAACTCCTAACCTGATACGCACAAAAAAATGTTTAGTTTCTAAGAAAATGTAAGATTTTTATTTTTAATTATTAAGATCATCTTTAAACTCTCCATCTCAAAAGATTCAAGTTGATACGTAGTTTGGTGAAATTTGGTGATTTATCACCTGTCAACAACCTGGTTTTGTTTACAAGAAGGCCGGTTTAAAAACCCTATTTTATAATGATGTCATCAGAAACTCCAGCCCTGTATTTAAAAAAAAAAAAGGGGGATTCTCCAAGCATGACAATGAGGCCATACTTTATACAAAGGGATTTCCAGGCGCTACAGCAGCTGGCAGAGAAAAATGGACAGTTTTAAAGGAAATTATAAGGGTTATAGGCAAAAGGCTTATTTCTGAAGACAGTCATTTCAAATAGCAATGTACAGCAGGTAAGATAGTAATTGTTCATACCCTGTCCACAGAACCCCGCTTCAATAAACCTGGTCGTTTAATTATTACATAAAACATTAAAGGTTTCAAAGGTTGGTTTTTTTTTACCGTTTAGATGAACTTTTTGGTTTGTTGTCCTCTCAACAGTTCCGCTCCCTCTTCTTTGGATCGGTAATTCCTCCGTCCTCTCAGACGAGCACGCAGCCGATGCACACGCAGGAAGTGCTGGCCAGCGACAGCGAGGACGACGCAGAGTGACTGTGAGAGAGACGTGGACCGACCTGAGCCTGGGTGGATGTTGGAGCACTGTTCCACCACAACGCCTGGAATATTCGGACATGATGGACGTTTCATCCCAGCTGGACCGTCTGTTAAATGGACCTGGTTTAACACGCAGAGGCTGCTGTTTTATATTTTATTCTGAGTAAAGGACTCTGGGTGAAACTGCGATTATGTCAAACCAAACAGGAAGTACTTCACTTTTGTTTTTCTTTCTGTTTGATGCAGGATTTTAAATCGAACCCCAGGAAATAAACTTGTTTTTTGTGCTACGTAAAAACATTTTATTATTTATTTACATCTTAACCAACGTGGCGCTCAAACACGTTCCTCTTAAGAAAGTTAGTCAAAAGTAAGATTTGGTGTAAGAAGCAGAGAATCGAAGCGTCTGTGAGCCGGTCTTTGCAGGACGAGTCTCGTCATCGTTCTCTTTCTGCTCCTGAAAACTTGTCCCTCTGCTCTGAGGCTGCTTCTTCTTCCTCTCCAGCTTCTTCTCTTTCTTCTTTTTCAACCTCTCTTCCTCTTTCTCCTTCCTCTCCTGCTCCCTCCGCCATCTCCTCCTCTCCCGGGAGCTCAGTTTTTCCTCTGCTTTCGCCTCGGCTGGCGTCTCCGCCCCCGTCATATCGCTGAAGTCCTGAATCAAGATTTTTGGCACCTGCATCGTGGGTTTCTTCTTCGCCTTGGCTCTCTGAACCTGCTCTCCTTTCAGTTTGCGGAAGAGGCCGAAGCGTTTGGATGCGCCGGCCTGCTGCTCCGGCTGCGTCGCGGTCTGAGTCTCGTCAGGAGCAGCTTGAATCGTCTTCACTTCTTCAGGTCGGCTCGTTTTCTCAGGCGAGACGAAGAGGTCTTCAGACAGCCTGCGTGGTAACTTGGAGCTGGACGACTTGCGTACACAGAAATCCCCAGAGGATCGGCTGCTCCGACGCCCAGAGGCCTGACCCTGCTCTTTAGCAGCCTGAGAGTCTCTGTCAGTAAAAGCCTTTCCTGCTGGGTTTCCTTGAACCTTCTCGGAGCTCTCCACATCCTCTGCAGTCCTGGCCGGACCCGCCAGCGGTTCAGGTGCTCGTGTTTCAGAGGTGAACATTTGTATTGAACGCTGCTCGTCCTGCACCTGACTTTGTGTTGAATCCTCCTCCCCTGCAGGTGTTGTACAGTCAGTGGTCTCCTCACTCGTCTCGGCTCTTATTTGTCCTTCCTGTACGTCTGTTGGAGCACCAACACATGTCTCTGTGTGTCCTGGCCCGACCGTCTCAATGGACGTGTTAGTGGTGAGTTTTTGTTGGAGGCTCTCAGGTGAACACAGTGTTTGTGTTTCTGTCCCGGTGTCTGTGCGTGTTGTCTCCACGTCCACTCGGTCCTGCGTGGCTACGTGTTTTACTGCTCCATGACTTTCTGTCTTTATTTGTGCGTTGGACTCTTCTTTTGTTTCTAATGACTCTGTGCCGTGGTGTGTCTCCTCAGGTGTGTCCTCCTTTGTGTCTGTGATCACGTCTTGCTCCTGCTGTGGGACTGTTTTTAGATCCTGGTCTTGGTCCAGGTTGGTCTCATTTTCCATGTCAGGGACCCCTGTGGTCACGTCCACCTTCGTCTCTGCTGTGTTATTAGTTTCTCCATCCTCTGGCTTCATGTCAGCTTGTTTGATTGTCTCCTCTCTGAAGGTTTGTGTCTCTGTCTTTGTGTCTTCGCTCTGTGTCTTTATCATGTCACCTCTCTGTGTCTCTGTCTTGTCGTCTCTCTGCGTTTCTGTCTTTGTCTTGTCTTCTCTCTGTGTCTCTGTCTTTGTCGTGTCTTCTGTCTGTGTATCTGTCTTTGTCGTGTCTTCTCTCTGTGTCTCTGTCTTTGTCTTGTCATCTCTCTGTGTCTCTGTCTTGTCTTCTCTCTGTGTCTCTGTCTTGTCTTCTCTCTGTGTCTCTGTCTTTGTTGTGTCTTCTCTTTGTGTCTCTGTCTTTGTCTTGTCTTCTGTCTGTGTCGCTGTCTTTGTCATGTCTTCTGTTTGAATTTTTATCTGTGTCTTGTCTTCTCTCTGTGTCTCTGTCTT